TGTTGGATTAACATTTATTGGCCTTGAGGTTTTCCCTGTCCAGTTTGGAATCCATCATTAAGCACTTTCACTGGCACCTTTGCCTCTCTTGAACTTGTTTTTGTGCTGTACCTGCCAGAAAACATCCCTTGAATGCTGCTTCTCTCTCTGAGTTGCTTTGGTAATACCATTAAAAGGCCGGTCCTCAATACGAGTAATTGTCTCTCCAACAACCATCCCCCAACCCCCCCTCAGTCAACTACTAAATGTTTATTAGGCATCTACTGGTTGCTCTGGCCCTGAGCTAAGAATATCGGCGTATCCCCATAGCACTTACAACCTAGAGGAGATAGACATTCATCAAATAAGAGCACCTATTGTAGTTGGAAAATATGGTTAGTGCTTTGAAGAAATAGCGTAGGGGGCCGGCCGAGTGGCGCGATGGTTAAGAACTCGCTTGGGATGCCAGAGGGCCCCGGTTCGGATCCCACATATGAGGGCCAGTGACACTGCCCTCCACAGCTAAGATGCTGAACAATAGCTCAACCTGGAGCTGGGCTGCCATGAGTCGCCAGTGACGGCGTGGGCTGCAGTCCCTGTGGCAGTGGGTTGCCATGGGCTACCGTATGTGGCCAGCAGCCAGCGTGAGCAGCCAGCAGCCGCAGTGAGCGGCCATCCAGAAGCCGGCGACTGATCTGCCTCACCCGGGAAGAGCGCAATGATGGTGCCAACTTGGGCCAGTGAAGCAACATCCTCCACAACTAGACTGAAGAACAAAACGACAGCAACTTGTCTGTTCCCCTTTCCCCAATTCCCCAGCACTGTTCCCATCCCCCCAATTCCCCAATAAAAATCTTAAAAAAAAAAAAAGAAATAGCGTAGGGCTGTGTTGTCCAGTACTAGTCACTAGCACATTGTAGTGTGGCCAGTCCTAATTGAGGTGTGCTGTAAGTGACATCAGATTTTGAAGACTTAGTACCCCCAAAAGGTAAAATATCTCATAATTTTCATGTTGATTATATGTTGAAAATATTCTGGATATATTGGGTTAAATAAACTATTAAAAAACATTCACCAGTTTCCTTTTATTTTGTTGAATATGGCTACTAAAACATTTAAAATGCCACATGTGGCTCATATTCTATTTCTATCGGACAGCACTGGCGTAGGGTGTTGTCTGGGGGTACAAGAAGGGGAACAAACCTCGTATCTGGGGAGCGGGTGGCACTGAAGCCTTCCCTGAGGAAGGTGGCTTTGAACAGATACCTGGCTGAGTAGGTGTTACACAGGTGAGCCCTCCTTCGAGGAAGCAGTCAGAGGTGGATGACACTTTGAAGGAGGGTGAGAAGGTGGCGGGAGAGTTTGGTCAGGGATGAGGTCAGGGAGGTAGACAGGGCCAGATCATGTAGGCCTTGGTAGTCCTGATACTGATTATTCCAAACCTTCATCACATACAGGCCCTTTTATCCAACCCTCACTTCTATAGTCTGCAGAGAATCTGGTCACTTCCTGATGGTCTGCTTTGAGTTCTCAGATCTCTGTGCCTCCCCTCCTCAACATCCCCTACATCGGTCTCAGATCTGCTGAAGGCTAACTTTTCCTCATGTGCCCCTGATCTCATTCTTCAAAGCCTCTTTCAGGAGAGGCTGCATTAACTAATGTCCTTCTGTATTCAACCCCATTCTCCCTACTGGCTTTTTCACACCAGCCTATAGATGCGCCAGTCTTAGACCTTATGCAACAAAGCTCCATGGACCCCACATCCCCCTCAAGTTTTGTTTTTGAAGCATATCAAAATATTTTTTGACCTAATGTTATATTTTATTTAGAGCAATATATTCAAAACATATAGTCAATATAAAATTATTAATAAGATATTTGACATTTTTCATATTAAGTTTTAAATCTGGTTACATTTTATACTTATGGCATATGTCAGTGCAGATGCTAAATTTTCAGTGGTTAAAGTAAAAGGAATGTTACCAAAATAATAATAATTTAACAAAAATATTTTACCTTGCTTCAGTTTTTTTTATTGTGCTAAAAACAAAATGTACCATCTTAACCATTCTCCAGTGTACAGTTCAGTGGTGTTATGTGGATTCACATTGCTGTGCAACCGATCTCCACAACTTTTTCTTCCTACAAACCTGAAATCCTACACCTGTTAAACAACAGCTCTTCACTTCCCTCTCCCCAGCCCCTGGCAACTCACATTCTACTTTGTGTTTTTATGGATTTGATTACTTCAGATACCTCGTATAAGTGATGTCATATAGTGTTTGTCTTTTTATGACTGCTTTATTTCACCTTATATAATGGTCTCAAGGTTCATCCATGTTGTAGCATGTGACAGGATTTCCTTTTTAAGGCTGAATAATATCATTGTATGTCTATACCACATTTTGTTTATTCATTCATCCCTCGATGGATGCTTGGGTTGCTTCTACCTCTTGACTCTTGTAAATAGTGCTGCAGTGAATACAGGTGTACAAATCTCTTTGGGACCCTGCTTTAAATTCTTTTGATTATATAGCCAGAAGTGGGGTTGCTGTATCATATGGTGTTCTAGTTTTAATTTATTGAGAACCCCTATACTGTTTTCCACAGCAGCTACATTATTTCATAATCTCTCCAGCGTTACACAAGGGTTCCATTTTTTCCACATCCTCACTAATGCTTGTTATTTTCTGTTTTGTTTTTTTTTAATTTTGGGGTGTTTTGTTTTGTTTTGTTTTGTTTTGTTTTACAGTTAGCCATCCTAACAGGTATGAGGTGATATCACGTTGTGGTTTTGATTTGCATTTCTCTGATGATTAGTGATATTGAGCATCTTTTCATTGTGCTTGTTGACCCTTTGTATATCATCTTTGGAGAATGTCTATTTAAGTCATTGGCCTTTTTTGAAATTGGGTTATTTGATATTTGTTGTTGATTTGTAGCTCTTTATATTGTGTTGTCGGAAAAGTCATGACGCATTTTTGCAACAAAAAACAAAAAATACGTTGTGACCTTTCCGACAACCCAATATATTTCTGGATATGAACCCCTTATCAGATAATATTATTTGCAAGTATTTTCTCCTGTTCTGTACGTTGCCTTTGCACTTTGTTGATTGTATCCCTTTGATGTGCAGAAGTTTTTAAGTTTGATATAGTCCTATTTGTCTATTTTTACTTTTGTTGCCTATGCTTTTGGTGTCATATCCAAGAAGTCTTTGCCAAATCCATTATCATGAAGCTTTTCCCCTATATTTTCTTCTAAGAGTTCTGTAATTTCAGGTCCTATGTTTTAGGTCTTTATCCATTTTGGGTCAGTTTTTTAATATGGTGTAAGAAAAGGGTACAAACAAAGTATTTTGAGCATGTTCTTGAGACCTTATGGAAAGAAGAAGGAAAAGGCTGAAATATATGGAATTGTTTTAATTTGGAGGAATTGATGATAGTTATTAGGCTAGGACGCAGTTCTCAAATGGTGCTTAATAGTATATTCTAGTGTGAATTTTTCTGTCATTTTTGTTTCCTATAGTTGAGAGGTACTGATATGGAAGCAATCAATAGTCTAGGGGTAGCTGAAGCTAAAAAATAAAATGGGAAGAAGCCAGGTATCAGAGTGCATGTGAGTCATCCTGTGCCTCTATTCTAGTATGTAAACCACATACATGATCAGAGTTGCCGAGCATGCCTTTTAAGACCTTCCTGCCAGGGCCATTTAGTAAAGATTTCAGAAGTATCCATAGCAATTAGATCTCATATGAAATATTTATTAACCTCATTAATTTCTCTTATTTTAGTCTTTGGGCTTTCATTATAGATGGGATACATTAATTGCTACTTCAGTAGACTAATTTCAGAGTTTGTTAAAAATAGATATTTTTCTGCCTGTCTGACCTATTCCTTTTCCAGGTGTATGGAGTACCTTTGTCAGCACATTTGAATGATTATACCTTTGACAGTGTGTAATAAATAACATTGAGAAACTTCAGAATTTATTCTGAGAGTCTGTTTTTTTTTAATGGCATGGTAACTATTTACAGAAAGGTCTAACTTTTGTTAATGAATCCATTTTGCAAGATGTAGAAAGATGATAAAGTCTGAGTATCCTTAAACATCAAGTTGATTCAGACAAGTCAACTTTCAACTAATGTATGTTTATTAACTTTTTTTCTTATAAAAGGTTTACATGTTATGAAGTTGCTCAGTATGATTTTGATCTAAGTATAACTGAATTTCCTTTATAGTTTGGGTTTGCCACAGGCTGGCGAGTGCTGGAAGAAAGCAAAATGGACCATTAAGTAGTTCTTAAAATGTTTATTCATAATACAGTATTTTTTATGTCTTCATAAAGAATTACTTTTTTGGTTACTTGAAACTTTTGAAAAGAAAATAAAGAAAATTGTTCTGTTAATAAAAAAACAAGTTATTCTCTCAGTATATACTAGGATTTATAGAAGGATATCTTTCTGGAAGATAAAGCTTAATGTTCTTAAAAATAACATTTAATTCAATTTAAAAATAATTAATATCCCTATATTAAATAATGTTTTTCTATTTGATAACTCCTGAGAAGTAACACATCTATTTGATTTACTTTATTGCATATATTACCAAGTACTTGAGGACATAAAGGTACATGTGGTTTTCTTTTTTATATATAACATTGTATTTTTTTAAATTATAGAAGTACTACATGCTAAATATAGAACATTTAGGAAGTCCTAAACTATGCAAAAAAATTAAAATTCTTAATCCCACCAATTGTAATTTTTAAAAAATAATTCATTTATTCAACAAATATTTGACTACTCTGTACTGTGTATCATTCTAGATATTTGAGATATGAAAGTGAGTTATAGGAGTTCTTTTTCTCAGAAATTGAATCTAGTCAGATTCCAGTTTCATTATAATTGCTATATATAGACACAAATATGATATTTAAGAGGTAGAACTTAAGCATAGAGAGTCTGTGGCAAGGCAAAAGTTAATTATTATTATTATTATTATTATTATTATAAATTACAGGTGAAGAATATCTCAGGTGAAAACAAATTTCATCATTTTTGTGATTGTGCAGGACCAGAGATAGGTAAGTACGTGATTATATATCTTTTTTCCCCATTGGATGTTTATTGATTCCCTACATATTGCTGGGTACAGTTCTAGATGGTGAGAATTATAGCAGCAATGAAGTAGGCGAGAAGGACCCCTGCTCTTAGGGAGTTTACATCCTGCGGGGCAGGAGGAGAAATAAACAATAAACAGGTAAGCAAATTAATGAAAAGTCTAATGACCAATGCTAGGAAGAAAAGAAGACGATGTGGTCAGACCTCAAGTCTGTTAGACTGGTGATTAAATCTACAGCTTGTCCCCAGGTTTCCTTTCAGCTATTAGTTTGTCTTCCCCAGGAAAACGTTAATGCTGCCAAAAAGAAACAAGCAGTGTTGTCTTTGTTTCTTGCCCTTTTGTACATTCTCTTGGAGACTTCTCCAAGAGAAATGGCTAAATAGCAAAAGTAGGAAGGAATTAAGAGAAGCAAGGCACATGGAAAATCCTTTCAGCTTTTCACAAAGCTGGGAGTTTCGAGTTTGTACCAACTTGAGTTTGTACCTGTCAGTATCTCAAAAGTACTTACTGATCGTACATTCTGAATTAAGAAAAATAAAACTCTACCAGTTATTTGGAGAGGGAATAAGGGAAAATAATTTTATCAATCCTTGTGGAAATCCTTGTGGAAGAAGTTTTATTTTGAAGCTTCTCATGTCTCTTCGAAAAACTATCATCTATGTCACCTTATAAAGAACTCTTGACTCGTAACTTAGCTGCTTTGACGGTCTTGACAATTGATGTGTAAGACTTGTGCCCTGCTTTCTTCAGTACATAAGAATTTGGAGTGTGACCCGTGACTCATCAGTTGACGCTATGGAGCATTTTTAGAAACAAAGACTGCAATAGCAGATTTCCCTTAACACAGCGGTAGTGGAAGTAGATTCAAGAAGGCACAGTTGTCCATATCTGTGCTGGTGTCATTACAGCTGTATGTTAGACTGATTCTTAGAAATGTGTTACAACACTGAACATTTCAATGAGTTTGATCACAGTAGGTATAAACCATGTGTGTGTTTTGCAAAAATCCTTATTGTGCAGCAGTAACTGCGTTTCTCCCCTTTTAATGATATGAAGTCACTTTGCTGATAAATGCAATATTTAGGCTTGTGTTTTACTTATTTAGTTTTGAAACACAGAGATGAAGCAGTGAAGAAAAAGCATTTTCTTAGGCATACTACTCCTTTTTTAGTGCTCCATAAATTGTTTCTATTTTTGATGTGGACTTCTTGTTTGCTTTGACTTCTAATTTTAATCACATGTATAGGAACCAAACTTGGCTGCTTTCTACTTCCTACTTTACTTCCTTTTGTCCATGCTCCTGCCATGATATGCTCTCATACACAAAGTCAATCTGTACAATAGATACTTAATAAAAAACAAGCCTCACTCCCACTCCTTTACCCCAGCCACCCAGTTCCTCCAGAGTTGACTGCTGTTAGGAGTTTTTTGTATATATCCTCTAGGCATATTTTGTATATATAAACTCATGTGTATACCTATAGAGAGAGATATTTTTAAACACATTTTAGTTTCTACCTGGACTTAAATTAGCTCAAAATTTGTTTAATTTGCTAGTCTTTTTGATATTTAACTTAGTCACCTTTTAAATCTCACCTGAATTACATTACCTTAAAAAAATGTGTTTATCTCTTGAAAAACATGTAAACATTACCATGCAGAGGTTTCTCTCTGCTGGATATGACTATGGACAAAATAATTATAAAAAACTATAAATCATGGCCCTGTTACTTATTCCTTTTTAAACAATGCTAAACATAATAAAAATTAATTTAGTCATATTTATGATAACTTAAAAGAAAATGGAACATTTACTAGGTTCCTTTGACCTAGCAAATATAGTACCACCATGGAAGAATATCTGTTTCGTACACTTTAAATTTTGCTAAAAAGCTTGGTTATTAGGGAATATTATAATACAAATTGTGCTGAATTAAAAATTGCTTGCTTAACAAGTCCACTTGCTAAGTGAAAATGCCTTGGTGTATTTTACAGTGTTCATCAGTTCTGTAGCTTGTACCTTTACAGTATTAATGTTTGTAGTGGGCACTCTTAGAATGTCTTTCATTTTGAGAAGTGTTGAGTGCATCCATTTTATTCTAAAACAGAGAGGGGAAAGGCAGTCTTTTCCTTGAATTCAATTAGAATATGTTAGATGTGGAGGGGGGAAAGTAAATTGTTTTCACTAATTTACAAGTATCACCCTAGAAGGATTTAACATTTTCACTGTTATACTGCCTTCCTTTGGTTGTGAAATGTAAATGGGCAGAATTGTAGAACTGCCAATATGAATCATTGTAATAACTGCCATTTAAGTGACTACTCCATGGCTGTCACTCTGCTAGGAGCTTCAAGTTTCATTCAGCAATTAGTTGTCACGGTAATCCTGTGAGGTCAGTATTTTGCATTTAAGGAAACTGGAGTTCAAAAAGTTTCAGAGGTAATATACACTTTGGATAAGGTACAGTAATTACCTATGATTGGAAATCAGACCTATTTGATCTAAAAGCCATTACTGCTTACTGAGTTGTTTCTATGAGAATATAAAGTTCTGATAGAATTGTAATTATTTTCTTTCTTCTTATTGAAAAGGACTTTAAAGATCATTTTCGTTTAAACCACATAGTTGACCAACAAAGAGGTAGGTTTCTAATATAAAAGGCAGTCATTGTCTAGGACTCATAGTGAAATGATTTTTCAGAAAAATTCAGTGGGATTGTTTTGTTATAATGCATCTGAATGATTTTACAGAAACCATGGCTTAAAGGGAAAAACTGATTCTTGCTGTATCTATCCCTCTGCCTGCCTACCTACCATCCACCCTCCATGATCTGTCTGTTACACCTGGAAGAAGGAGTAGTTGTATTCTTTATACCCTGCTTCAACTTGTTGTATGTTTAATTTTGGTTAGTGGTCTTAGAGCTTAAGTGATGGAAGGTTTGAAAGGATAAAGGGGCTTAAGAGTACGTGCTTCTTTGTTGCAGAGATGGCACCTGATAAGGTATATGTGCCTTGACTTTTCTTAAGGGCTATCAGCAAGGATTCTGATTTTGTTATCAAACCCTTCTTGTAATGACACTACCTAGTGAGATGTTTACCTGCATGGTTCTGTGTATTTTATCTTCATGGTGTTTTCAGACACGGTAGTGCCCCTCCCTCATTAAAGTTTGATTAAAAAGTGGCATTTCAGGAGCAAGCATAAGAAAATGGGTTGCTGTAAAAAAGATGACAACTTCTTAGCTGAAGAGTTTTTCTTCCTATCTACCCTTTGAGCCTTAGGTTGTTTTTTCTTAAAATTTTTCTTTGTGGAATAATAGAAATTCCACTTTTTTTTTAAGAGGGCCATTTTTTATTTATTTATTTTTATTTTTATTTTTTAGCTGAGCCATCCTGCCACCTGTTGGCAGCTCAGCAGCAGTTCAGCTCGGGCTGGGAATCGAGCCGGCGACCCTGTTGCTCAGAGCTCACACTCCTGAGCGAGCCCTTAACCAACTGAGCCACTCGGCCGGCCCCGAAATTCCATTTTGATATTAGGAAAATAGCTAAACGGTAGAACACTTGATAATAGATATTCATAGAAAACCTGGAAAATAAACAAGCAGGAGTAAAACAAAAATGTGTAATTGCTTCTTTCACACGAACACCTCCTCTCCACCCCACAGTTCCTGCTCCGGTTCAGAACTGTTGGAGGATGCCCTAGTCTGCAGTGAAATTGATGATCAGTGAAATTGGTGATTCCTTTTATTGTGTCAGAGGACTTCCTGTAACCCCTCTTCACTCTCGTGCTTCTTATTCGTTATCCCATTTCCTTGCAGGTATCGCAGCCTGCCCAGTAAAGCTTTCACTTACAGTTTGGGAGCTACTTCGTTTTCAGCACTATTATGTGTACACCTTCTGTAGTCATACAGGTCCGATTGTTACCCTGAGCAGGGAATAAAGGGCAGGAAGAAAGACCAAAGTCGAGAAAACAGTTCATTTTGCAGAACACGTTCCGTTTTGGGTGGCCCTGGCGAGCATGCGCACTGCGTGTTGCTGACCCCGCCCAGTGCTGCTCCTCGGGCTTTGCTTGCGGTCCTCGTCCGGGGGCCAGCGCATAGCATGCAGAGGACAGGTGTTAACTATGATTCTTTTTATGTAAATACATGATTTCTTGGTAAGAAAATTATTTCAGAAAACGTAAAAACAAATTGGTGCTTTGAAGAGTGGTTCTAATAAGATAAGTGTGTGTTAAAATCACAGTCGGGCATCTGCCCTTTGGTGGGGGGTACCATTAGTTGCAGTCGTTTTCTTTCGCTGACTTAAAGTTTATTTATCACTGTAAAGTGTAGTGACATTAGGCTAAGCAGGAAGCATTTCTTAGAACTGTGTGTCCCATCACTGGCATTTGTGTACAAGGACAACTTAAAATAGCTGTGTAGGCGCTGGCTGTCTCTTGGTGTATATGAGCAAGTAAGGGACAGGCCTGAGAAGAGAGGGCCCGTGGTGCCAAAGTGGTTCACCTGTTCAAGCACTGCTGCTGAGTTTGGGAAGCTGCTATTGTTAGTGTTTCTTTGTCATCAGCGGATAAATGGTGGTTTACTAATTTAGATAATCACCTGCTGAGTTGTGTAATGGCATTGATGACATAGGCACACCCTACTGGAAATTGTGAAGGCATATGCAAACAGTGATGTGCTCTCATCACTGGCACAGTTGCACTACTTTTACAAGCTAACTCAGATATTGCAGTTGTACCAAGGTGTGTTTTTGTTTTTATTTTAAGGGATGGTGTCCATTGCTATTCTTGTTCCCCTAGAACTTAACTGAAAGACACTAACTACAATTCCAAAGCAGAATTATGTCGGGGAAGGTGAAGAAATTCTTTTGGTATAGAAAACAGGAATTATATTTTAAAGGGAGACTTTGACAGTATTCTGCTTAACAAATGCTCAGTTCATATTATTGATTCCAAATAATGGATTG